TTCTTTCAATTTGAGTAGTATAAATACACACACCTTGTTTCACCAATTTGAGTTTACAACAACATTTTTTTTTTCAATTATTTTTTTCTTTTCTATGTTTCACATAATCAGTATGGAATGTTTATTAAAAACAAAGAGAGGAAAATCATTCACTACTCAAGAAGATATGTCAATTTCTAGAGCTTGGTGTCATATTACTGAAGACTCGATTGTTGGGAATTTGTAATCTCATTCTCATTTTTGGGGAAGAATTTTTGAAAATTATTGTTCATTGCAGAATGATCACTCAAGAATACAAGTGTCTATCTCATCTCGATGGAGTGTAATCATGAAATGTTGCAACAAATTTCGTGGGTGTTTAGCGCAAGTCGAAAATCTACATCCAAATGAGATGTCTAGTTGATATAGTAAGATTTCATCTTCATTTATTATGTTAATTTTTTTTTGTCTTATATAAAAATTAACTAATTAATTAATTTAATAATTTATTAATACAGATGCTTTAAGCAAAACTATTATGCCATCAAGATGAAAGCAAACATTTTGCTTTTGAATGTTGTTGGCCAATCTAGCAAAACAATATCAGGTGACAAGATTTAGCTCTTATGAACATAGTGAAGTCAATGATACATTCACCGTTTTCTCCTAATTCAGGCCCTAATTCCCCTATGGATAATTGCATTTCTCTTGAAGACGACAATAGTCCAACTGTTGGTAACAATCCAACTATTGGTAATAATCAAATCGGTGAGGGTAGTCTCTGCAAGGGGTAAAAGGCCTACGGGTAGCTGCAAAAAAAAATATTTCGGAAAAATCAAGTCGTTGAACCTGAAGTTCAAAAAATGAGCATACAATTGGAGACATTTAACCAACATCTTGCTGAAAAGGAAAAGAAAAAAGCTGAAAGAGAAGAAAAAATGAGTCAAGCACTGCAGGAGATGAAAGAGATTGATATCAAAAGACAAGAACATGAGATCCAAAGGCATGAACATGAGATTAAAAAGGAAGAACATTTGATAATGGCTAGGGACATTCCTCATTTGGACTCTCAGATGAAAGCGTATTACACAATGCAAAAAAATGAGATTTTTGCCAAGTGGTTCGCACATGTCAGCAACCCAAATTACTATTTTCTCATGCTTCTGATAAATAATTACAAGAGAATGTATTTTTTAATTTTGCAATGCCATTTATTTTTTTAATGTAATTGTTAGTCTTTTTTTTGCAATGTCTTTTTTTTATTTTGTAATGTAATGTAGTGGTCAATTTATTTTTAGTATTTTTATGTTCGAATGTAATTTTATTTTTGCAATGTATAATGTTGACTATTTTTTAGTATAATCTTGTATTGATATGTTTTTTGGTGAGGTGAATTATATTTAAATTTTTTTCTCAATTTTTCTCAATTTTTTTCATTTTTAATATTTGTCTAGTCGGGAATAATATAAATATATAATTTTTTTTAAAAAAAAACAATTAAAAAAAAGTCACAAAAGACAAAAAATAAAAATAAAAATAAAAATAAAAACAAAAACTAGAAAGCTTATATCTGCACAACACCTACAAACTTGAAGAGAAAGTTTGTTGAGATTTACCAAAATAGCATTTACCCATTGGAGCACCATTGCTATAATTTGACAAAATAGCACTATTCATTGCCAAATTATAACAATAACAATGCTATTTTAACAAATACCATTAGAGATGCTCTAATGTGTCAAGCTAGTTATGAGTGTTATTGTAGATATACTGGAGTGATGAGATCTATTAAATAATATTATAAACAAAAAATATATATAAAAATGTGATAAGTGTAGTATTATGAAAAAAAAGAATCTCCCTACTTCTAAGTTTCTTCTAATCTAAAGGAACTCAGTTCCTTCTGCCATTTTTTATGCAAGTGAATGCATTGGTTTTCCATTAATTACCGTCATTTGGAAATAAATTATTTTAGTAATTTTTAAAATCTTTTAATTAAAATATGAAATAAAAAAATTAGTATGTTCGAAATAATTTTTGATTTTTTACCCAAAAAAAGTATAAAAAATAGAGAAAAAATAAAATTTTTGGCCTCTTAACCTTTTAAATAATTTTTTAACTTTTAAATTAAAATATAATATTCCCAAAGTCCAGACATCTTGCGGGGATTAATAGTTTGTACGTGTAATTGTCATTCAAGATTTTTGTATTTGTTTAGCATCACTCTTCCATCTTGGGAGTATATATTTTAGGTAAATTATACTATCAACTTGAGGGTTAATAAAAAAGGGAGATCTATGTGTAAGTCTTAATAAATAAATTTATTATCTAATATGTTTTATAATAATTAATAATGATGATATATTTTTCCCAACGAGAGATGGATCTAGCTGGTCTAAGCTTCCAACAAATCTGCTAGCCCGGAAGTCCGTGGAGCATTCCTGTAAAAAGGTCCAATGGGGGAAGTAGTCCCTGGCGAACCTTCCGACAATCGAGTTAGAATAATAGAGATTGATGGTGTAGAGAGAGAGAAGAGGAGGAAAATGAAGAACTTAACTTTTGATGTGTCTTGAAAATTTCCTTATATCATTTGCTCATCATTTCCTTGTTCATTCCATCCTGTCGTGTTGGCCGAAAGCCTATGTTTTAGCTTGCGTTGTCCATGGTGAGTTTGTATATTCCGACGTGAGAAGGTTGTTGCATTAAATGCTGTGAGAGTTTCATTAATGGCTAATAACTTTACAAGATCTTTATTTGCTTATGTATCTAGGCCTTGTTTGGCAAGTGTTCGAATGTTGTTGGTCTTGGCCTAATATTGATGTTATTGGGCTTTGATCGTAAGAATGTGGACCGGGCCCTGATCCGTGGGTTGGGCCCTCCTGGGTTGGACCCTCCTGGGTGCTTATTGATATCAAATAATATTTTTCCATCAAACACTATTAAAAAACGTTATGAATTATTAATTTTTAATAACAGTTTAAAAATTATCATAAAAAATTTCACTAATTATAAATTTTACCAACAATTTAAAAAAATGTCACAAAAAAAGTCGTTAATTTTTAACTTTTAGCAACAATTTAAAAAATTCATCACAGAAAAATGTCACTAAATTTAAATTTTGGCGATAACTTATAAAAACCAAGATAAAAAAATAAAAAATAAAAAGTTACAAATTGTTGATTTTTAGCGACACATACAAAAAATCCTCACAAAAAATATTTTTAGTTATGATTTTATTATGACTTATTTTTAATAAGACTGGATAAAAATTAAATCTAACTATCATGACCTGTTGATAATTTACCCTAATGAAAACATCATATGGTCTATAAATTTAAAATAATTACATTAATTTTTTCTCTTCGTTACAAACGGTGTGTATACACAGATATAATCAAGAGGAAAATAAACAAAAATTTTCCTTCCCCATATGAGCCATGGCTTATGGGAAATTCTATTTTCACGCACGTTATTATTTTAGTGCATATTTTTCTCAATATTCACACTTATTAATTAATTTTCTCAATCTATATACTAAAAGTTACAATTATATCATTCACTTGTACACACATCACTCAATCATCATTTCCAGACACTTGTTGAGTGACCTTACTTTCAGATTTGTAGACCCATTATAGACTCGCGTAAAAGCCATTCAAGACCACAGTGTGAAGTGAAATAAAGGCAAAGTCTATTATTGAAGACCTCTATTGAAGATTCTATTGAACCTCTATTAAAAATACCATTGAAAATCTTCCAAAATATTGTTGAAGATGAGACATCTTTTCATTTTGTTATTACATTTACCATTTCCAGATCTCTATGCACTCTATTGCCATAAAACCCTCGTTTTATATATATATATATATTTATTTATTTATTTATATATTTTTTAATGTTTTTAGGTGTGGGAATTTCGGCACTAGATTTCCAAAATTATACATTTAATTCGAAACTTAACTTTCGAATAAAAGTAATTAGTTCGACATATTTATTACGAAAAAAAATTAAAAAAAATAAACTTTCGGCAGTTGATATCCGAATATAATGAAATAATTCGACAGTTGATGTCCAAATATAATGAAATAATTCGGTAGTTGATGTCTGAATATAATGAAATAATTCGACACTGGTTGTCCGACTGAAAATAGCAAAAGGAAAAAAAAATCTGCACGAAAAAACTTACATTTTTATTACTAATAGAGTATAAATCTAGAAATTAAAGTAATATGAGAGTTGTTGTAAGAGTATTGTTTTACAAGCAATAGAGGAGTATATAATGTGTAGCAAGCAAAGTAGTAATAATAAAAAAAATTAGAATTTAGTTTTTTTACTCAAAAAATGTACATTGAAATTTTTTTATTTTTAAAAGATGTGTACAGAAAATATTTTCATATAATATTATAGATGCTAGTAAATTTCATTAAATATGTATACTGAAATAATGAATTTCCCATGGCTTATGTATATAATGTTGGGACCACTTCCATGTGCCCCTTGCAGTGCGGTGCCTCTCCAAACTGCCAAAAGGAAAATGTTTGGTAGATCAAAATTTTGTGACTCAAATAGCTCAAATCTGTCAAAACGACGTCGTTTTACACTCAAAATCTGTCAAAACGACATCGTTTTGAGTGATTTGAGCCATTTGAGCCCGTTTTACACTCAAAATCTGTCAAAACGACATCGTTTTGAGTGATTTGAGCCATTTGAGCCACAAAATTTTGAGCTACTTAGCATTGTTGCTGCCAAAAATCCAAACTACACATTTCTAGAGGTCAATCAAAAAACATAAAATAAAAATGCTTTAGTTATTCCTCTCAACAGTCAGTCATTCCGTTTATTGTGTTAGCAATCATGAAGTTGCATTGCATCAAATAACAAATGTTCTTAGAAAGGCCATTCACTCAAGATTTTGGCAGAAATAAAAATGACTAGGAACATGGCAAACATTATTCAAACTATTATTCTATTCATTATTTATATGGAAACACAGCAGTGCCAATACAAAAAAAATTGGGAAGAGGTGGGTGGAAATCTACAAAAACATGGATTTTTCTAAGGAAAAGTTAAAAATGAGAGTAATACAAAAATTTATACAGTCCAACATTCTGAAACAGTAAGGACACTATAACAGCTAATTGGTCACTGATTTTTAACTACTAGTTGTACTCTAACAAAATGGTGTAGTAAAATAGAAGTTACCGAGACTCCATTTATTTGCCAAAAATTGTGGACATTCATTCACCTATGGCAAACACATTTGTAGTGGTATGCGCTGTTGATCGGATCGTTTCCCTCCACCGGAACTTGCTCTGCACTGCACTTGTACTTACACCCTCTGCATTCGTTATAAGTGCAGGTCGGTGCAGTCGATCCAATCATCGCTCTTCTTGAATTCCTGTTCATCCATTGTTTAATGCTATCCTATAGACTCCAACGAGGTTACAAACAAACATGAAATTAAAAAAAGAAAAGTGAATGTTTTAATTTGAAAAAAACAAAGGAATTTTAAGGAAAAGTTGGTCTTTCTGACCTGCATGAGAAATTCTCTTTCTGAGGTAGATGATTGATGTGCCCTACGAATATAGGAAAATAAAACTTGAGTTCTAGATCCTGCACTCATCCAAACGTGGGATATTTGTCAAACCAATTGTGGCATGAAGACTGTATCGAAGCTGTTGGTGAAAATTATAACAAAATTGCCAGCATATGAATTTTTAGTGTTTAACAAATCACATTAATGCACAAAAATCTTGCTTTCTTTAATGAGATTCAAGCCCTATGAGATTGGTAAATATCCAATAGAAGCTAAGATTGAGAAAACCAAATGAAAGCTTCATTGGTGGTCTAGAAGATGGAGGAAAATAAGCAAATTTTGGAACGTCACAAACACAATTTGGATTTGTAAATATCTATAAAAAAACTATTAAAAAAAAAAAAAAAGTGACTCAATGTAGGAGACTTGTGTTAAAACAGAACCTGGGGAGGCCAACATATATGCAAACTTATCCCATTTAGACCTGTATGAAGTCCAAATTGGGCTGTTTTCCATTTTGGTTATCAGCAGCCGAAGAGAAGTACTAGGTCCATGACTAGCATAGTTGGTGCAACAAAGAACCAAGTGAAAATGAACCTGTAATTTCTATAGATAGACCATGCAAACTAAGAGAACAAATTGATGTACACTGTAAAAGGTAACAGAGTTCTTACTAAAAAGGGTTTTGCAAAAAGCCCAGAAGAAACAGAACATTAAACAAGAATAAAATTTAGGAAGAAACAACCAACTGTAACCTGACCTTGTATAACATGTGCAGCACAAATTATGGTGAAGAACAGCAAGAGTAAGTTGTTTAGAAGTCTAGTGTTGGCCATTACTGCCTTGGTGTTGGGTAAGTTTGAAGCAGATATAAATTGCAAGTCAATATATTAGAGAGAGAGAGAGAGAGAGAGAAGGCTAGTGGTCAAATAATGGCAAAACAGACAGTGCTGATAACAACCCAAAAGAGGTCCCCAACTGACAAAAATCATATTTGGTCCAACTCATGGGGGCTACTGGATTGTGTAGTTGAATTACAAAAGTACCCACTGCCCTTTGTGTGTATTTACAAATCAACATTGATTATTTTGAGTTTTTTGGAAGGGTTATTGTAGGGATTCTATTTGGACAATCATTTCATTGCTCCTAGAGATTTCTCACACCCACCAACAAACAGCATCTACATCTTCCAGGCTTAGGAGATGCCTAGAGTATTCTTTGAAAATTCCTAGAAGAATATGGAAACCATGTAACATACTCACAGAATCATGCATAATATAGTGATCAATAGACCTTCAATGTATAATTAAAGGTCAAATTATGAATAAACAATCAGCAAACAAACCAATTTGGGAATATATATATAATCAGGCTTCACAAATGAGTTTCAGGATTTTGTTTATCTTTTAAGAATACAATTTGTTTTGGGGTCAGCTTGCTGGAAAGTAAATCCCAATTACCCCCAGTCACTCCTAAATTATTAAATTATGTATATCTATTAAAACCAGGCACAACGCCAGATCGGGCATAACACCAAAGAAAGGTTGAACCTAAAACATTCAACTTTTATTATTCATCCCAAAGAATAGAGAGATAGGACCCACCGGACTCGAATGCCTGGTTGGGATCGCTGCTACTCGGTGATGCTCAACGGACTCGGACGCTTATGGGATTGAAGAAGAAGAAGAAGAACTGGGGAACAGTTATTGGTCGCCGCTGCTGGAAATAAATAATTTACTTAAAATGCGAATTAAATATTTCCTGATTCAAGAAATTACATTGAAGTTTCTAATTTGATAATAAATTTTTATTAATTAACTATCAAATCAATTAATAATTTTTATTAACGTCAAAAATATATTTTAATCAATAATTTAAATAATTTTATTATTATATAAGAAATAATTAAAAAAATTACTTTTTAAATTAATTATGTTTGATAAAAAAATTTATAAAAAAAAAAATTATGATTTTTCAAATTATTGTTACATTTCGTATTTTAAATATAAAGTGTATTTGTAATTGATTTTTTTTTTTCAATTTACACCCAACCATTATACATTTTATATAATTTAAAATTGATCCAGAATTGTTAATCGAAGTTAGGTTGGGCCTGAATATCATGTTAGGCCCATTTTCAAAATTTCTAATTCTACTTTGGGTTTTTAATAATCTGGGCCCTAATTTTTCATATACGGTTCCTCTTAGCTGAAAAATAATTGAAAAAAAATTACAAATCACTTTCACAAAAATATTTATAAATTTGTAGAAAATTTTATATCATTGATTTAATATTTTTTTTGAAATTATATAATTGCAATTTTTCCAAAATAATTCTGGCTTGCAATTTAATAAAAGATTTTTGAATTTGTTAACAAACACTGAAAATTAAACAATTATGATAATTGGACAAGTTTAAATTTTGAAAAGATTATAAAAGAGAAAAAAAAAAATTTGATCTATATAACAAAATAAAAAATTTATATAGCACGAGATACGCTCATCCTTGATTTTCAATCTAACTTTTAGTTTGACTACACCAATGATTCATTTAGAATGAGGCTAAAACACTTAAAAATGCCATTAAAAATGTCAAATTAAATAAAAATTTAAAATTTATTCTCATTTTTTTCTACTTTTTATATATTTTTGTTCATAAAAAATTATTACCAAACACTTTAATTTTTTCCCTCTTGTAGCCACTTCCTAAATTAATTCTAAATTATGTTTGTTTTCTGTTACAAGAGTCCACTCCAAACTCATAGTGATAAACAATAGACATAAATTATGTTTGTTTGATTTATGGTGCTCCAGATTAATTTGGGCAAGGGTATTAGTAAGTCTGGGCAGAGAGATAGTCTTAAAAAATAGCCTGTTCAACTTAGGATGTTACCGAACGTCTAGCAGGACATTCAGGCGGTCAACCAGCTAAGTGTAATTTTTTTATTTTATTTTTTATACTGGTTGGGCTTCTTTTTTTTTAACATTAATATTTAAATGTTGTTGTATTTTTTGTTAAGTAAAAATCATAATTTTATTTGTTTTATTATTTTATATAAAAATAATTTAATAATGCCTACAATAAAAACTATCATTAAAATAAACATAATTTTACTAATCCCTTCACTATCAAACTCTTCTTAACAATTCCTTCACTATTAATTCTCCTCATTATCAATTCTTTGCATTCTACTTTTGGAAATAAACGGTCCTATGGTGGAGAGAGAGAGAGAGATATTGTGGAAGTGGAGGGAGGGGAAATTAACAAAATAGAATTAACAGTTGAAATTAGACTTTAGTTTGGTTATGCAATTCTAAAAATAATCCTAGTGAGAAGTTTATCAAAAGTTTAGAATATATTTACTTGATTCCGTCAACAGTAAAGCTAATTTATTTGGGTTTAACAGGTAATCTAACAATAATGCAACAGATTGATGTTTTACATTTATAAATGACATAGCAAGAGTGATAGACCTCATATTATTAAGTCTGTAATTAATTAAAAATTGATACTTATTACATTATTATAAGTTAAATTACGAGAGATTAATGGGTCTCAAACATTTGCAGATAATCTAATTAAATTTAAACTCAAATTCTTTAATAGCATGGTATTCCCGCGAATACCCAACCTTGAAGAATGCCAAACCTTAACAGCCCCCATCTCTGTGTCTCTCTAACTTGCAGACGGCTGCAAAGGGTCAAACAAAAACAATCCCTTTCCTTCCTTCATCCCCAAACTTCCCAACACCCATTTCTCTCATCTTCCTCCTCTCACTCCCTCAAGCAAAGCATCCTTCCTCTGCTCTCTACCTCCCATAATAAAACCCACCAAACCCCCCCCTAGTTGGCCAAACCGATCATAGTGGATTCCATCATTTTTAAAATTAAAAAATGAAAACAAATTGGCGTTACTTTCAACATTAAATGATTGTGACATGTAAAGGATCCTTTGGTATTATAAATTGGTATAGAGCCCACCGCCCCGGTGGTGTCTCCAACCAAGTACTCAAAAAGGGTGATATTGAAAACCATATTGGGTCGCGGCGATGGCGGAGCTGGATTGGTTGGTGGCAGAGTAGTGATTGGAGGGTGGGTTAAGACCTCCAAAGAGGTGACGAAAAAACCTGTGCCGCCGCCGGTTGTGGAAGGTGATAAGGTGGGTTCTAAAGATGTTACGTGTGTGGAAACTATTCCGACTCGATTGCCATTCTTTCGATCAATCATGAAGGTTTTTGTGGGAAGTCATGAACCGGTTCGTGAAAAGTTGGATTCGGTTGTTCAAAAGCTGCCGCCACCTCCGCCGCCGCTGCAACAGTCGTCCTTGTTTGCAGTATTGCAAGTTAGTGATGGTTCTTGCGCTGCAAATCTCCAGGTATACAATTTGGTTTTGGGCTCTGTTTCTTCTATTTGAATTCTCTGTTTCGTTGTCTGAGTTAGAATGGGCACAATTTGCACAATCAAAGTTTTATATATGGTTGTTATGGCAAAAGTGAAGATGAAAAAATGTTAAAATACAACAAACACACAAGCACATATGTCTACATTCACTAGAGAAGAAGAATGTTGAAGTAGTTTACTATGAATGTAGATATTACAATAAGCTAGCTCTGTGTGTGTGTGTGTGTGTGTGTGTGTGTGTGTGTGTGTCAACCCTCTTCTGAAACTCAGTAGATTATCATAAACCTAAGAATTCTAAAATAACCCAATATATACAATAAAGGTGATTCTACTTACACCACTATTTTCCCTCTTTACACTCTCTATCTCATTACACCATTTAAAAAAAAATTAAATTCTCATTACACCTAATATATTACCAAAACAAACCCTATGATAAAAAACTCTTCAAAACTCATCTCTTTACACCCATACTTTGTGTTGGGCCTGTTCGGTAATACAATGCTAAATAATTTGAATTACTCTAGTTCCATGTTACCGGATAAAATTTTGTTTCCCAGTATTATGTTACCATTCAATTGGATAATTTCAGTTCACTTCCCAACAAAATCAGTAGAGCCCACATTGAAGTGCCTGTTTGGTCACACAATACGAAACAATTTACAAAAATTCGGTGCTATAATGCTGGAATAAATTGTTTGTTCCAGCCTTTTGTTGCTATATATTTACAGAGCCACTTCCTCTCAAATAATGTAGTAATAATTTGTGATGGGCCTGTTCGATAATAAAATGCTAGTGAGTTTTAATTACTCTAATGTTATGTTGCTGGAAAAAATAGATTTGTCTAGCGTTTTGTTGCTATATATTTACAGAGCCACTTTGTTTCAAATGATAATTTGGGCTTGTTCGGTAATTTGATACCACACATATATTTTTTGTTCAGCAATTTGTTACTAGACTTATATTTTTTGTTATGTAATTTACCGGAAATGTATCTTTTATTTGGCAATTTGATACCAGACTTATATTTTTTTGTTCGGCACTGTGATGCCGAACTATGTTATTTTGTTCAATTTCGAAACACCGAACAAAAGTCGCAGACCAACCCAGAAAATTGAAACAAAAACCTACCAAACTAATAAAAAAACTCACCGTTTCACTTTTTTTGATGGTTTTTCACCACCGTTTCTTCATCCATTGCTTTTTTTGATGATCAAGACACTATGATTATCACTTTTTCAAAAGAGATGTGTAAGAGAAAAGAAAAGTTGAGAAAGAAAAAATAAGGATTGAAGATCAAGGGGTGTAAGGAGATAATCAAATATATTTAATTTTAGTGTTTTGTCGTTTTAAGTAATTTCACACATGGATAAATTTGAAAGAAAAAAACAAGGTGAGAGCATCTCCAACCCACTAGGCATATCATGCTTGTTAGTCAAAATGCCTAGTATAACTCATTTTTTTCAACTCCAATGCACTAGGCATATGGTTAGGCATTTTAGCTCAACTCACATTCACTAGCTACATGTAGCTAGCCTTCAAGACTAGGCAAAATATATTTAATCATTAGGATCATTTCCCTCCATCTTTGTTGCTGATGTGGCATTTTATAAAATTAATAGTATTTAGATGAATAGCTAAAATAAAGAGCATGGTTGGAGTAGAAACATGAAATAGTTGATAGGCAAAATAAAATATATACTTTATAGTAATATTTAGATAGGTAAAATGCCTATTACCGTTGGAGATGCTCAATGCACTAGGCATATAATACTTGTTAGTTAAAATGCCTAGTGTGATTCACTTTTTTCAATTCCAATGCACTAGGCATATGACTAGGCATTTTGCCTCAACTCATATTCACTAGCTACATGTAGCTAGCCTTAAACGCTAGGCAAAATGTATTCAATCATTAGGATCATTTCCCTCCATCTTTGTTGTTGACGTGGCATTCTATAAAATTAATAGTATTTGGATAAATAGCTAAAATAAAGAGCATGGTTGGAGTAGAAACATGAAACAGTTGATAGGTAAAATAAAATATATACTTTATAGTAATATTCAGATAGGTAAAATGCCTACTACCGTTGGAAATGAGTAGTGTAGGTAGAATCACCCATACAATAAATCCAAAGTAGTAAACTGGGTCAAAACTGACCCAAATAGAATTACCAAGTTAGACCTACCAGATTAATCAAGTTTCTTGGGTCGGCAGCTTGTAATAAGCATCATTCTGGTTGAATTGGAGTAATATACACGACAAATCTCTCATCTTTTTTTTTTTTTTTTTTTTTTTTTTTTTTTTTTGGGGGGGGGGGGGGTGTTGAGCTTCTCTCAAGTTGATATATTTTCCTTCTTATTTTTTGTTTTCAAAAAATTCTGCTAATTTACTATTTTGCATTGAAGCTTCCTTTATTTTTTGAGGTTTCAATTATTGCTATCAACTATTGTTATAGTTGATGTTAGGGTCTCAATTAATTGAGGAAATAAGTTTTTTTTTTTTTTTTTTTTAAATTTTAGTTATTTATTTTTTTGGGTAAGTCTGAGAATCTTGGTGCCGTGTTTTTCTTATTTTTTTTTTTATAAATCTTGTAGGATGTCAGTAGATTAGTAAGTTAATACAATCAGCAATCAATGCTTCTCTATAAGCTCAAATCCCCAACCTCAAGTACAACCACTTGAGTTACGAGGCGAGGTTTATTCTACACAAAATGTTATTATGCTATATAAAGATTTACTTGTATGTGTAAGCTATTTTGGTGATTGGTTTTAAATTTCTCAGGTTCTAGTGGACTCATCAATTGAGCGTCCAAGCCAAGTCATGCAAACTGGAACTTGTATATTAGCAGAAGGATTTTTGCAGCAGCCTGAAGAACCTGGAAAACATGCTGTTGAACTCAAAGTAGCGAAACTTCTTCATGTTGGGACAGTAGATCAAGACAAGTACCCCTTATCAAAGAAGCGATTACCCCTCGATATGCTAAGGGATTTTTCACATTTTCGACCCCGGACAACTACAGTAATTTCATAATGCCATTGCAATTTGTCCTTTATTTCATTATTGTGTTGTGAAAATTTGGGAGCTTTTCAACACTTCTGTTGAGTTTTCTTCCATATTGCAGGTGGCATCTGTTGCAAGAATTCGTAATGGCCTGACTCAAGCCACTCACACCTTCTTCATGATCAATGGATTCCTTTATGTTCAAGTGCCCATTATCACAACAGCAGATTGTGAAGGATTTAGTGAGAAGTTCCATGTTTCGACTCTTCTTGGGGAAAAAATAAAACAGGAGGTAATTACCACGGATGATACTGCAGGGATTAGCTCTGAAACTGTCAAGGCTTCTATTAAGGAAAAAAATAAACAAATTGAAGTACTCCAAAGAAGCGATAGCAACAAGGAAGCACTGGCTGCTGCACTTCAGGATCTCCAAATAACAAGTGAACTAGTAGCACTGATGGAAGCAAAAGAAGCAGCAAAACAAAAATTTGAGTCCAGGGCTTCAGTTAAACCTGTACTTGTGGACTTCTCTGAAGATTTCTTCTCTCGCCAGACTTATCTAACGGTTTCTGGCCGCCTTCATCTGGAGAGCTATGCACGCGCTCTTGGAAATGTATACTCATTCGGGCCTAGATTTCAAGCACAAAAATCAGAGTCCAAAAGGAATGTGGCAGAGATGTGGATGGTTGAAGTAGAAATGGCTTTCTCACAGTTAGAGGTATAAGCTTTATGTTTGTTTCAGTATTAATGGTTTTTTAATATTGCTCTTGTTCATATCATTCCATCTTTATTTCTGATGTAAATTCTTGGTACCAATTAGAAATGTGAAGTTATTTTCCTAATATTCTTCTTATTTTTTGGTGCTCCAGGACGCCATAAACTGTGCATATGACCTTTTGAAGTCTGTCAGCCAATGGGCTCTGGATAATTGTTCAGAAGATCTGAAATTTCTTTCAAAACGAGTTGACCAAACTATTGAGGATCGCCTTGAAAAGATGACATCAAGTTCATTCCGAAGGATCTCCTATGAAGCAGCAGTGGAGGTTTTAAAACAGGTAATATTTTGCTATGTCATATTGATACATAGTTCTAAATGTATTTTATCTTTGCCAATATTATCTCATTTATCTTCTTGGTGCTTTTCGGACAGGTCAAAGATAAGAAATTTGAAGCAACAATCGAGTTGGGTGCACCTCTAACTGAAGAACATGAAAGGTGTGCACATGGTAGCAGTATTTGTGTTGTTGTTTGAGGAGAGAGAGGTAAACTTTTAACCCCTTTGTTGATTGCAGTTATCTGGCTGACGAAATCTACAAAATGCCGGTCATTATAGACAGTTACCCTAAAGAACTTAAGCCATTCTATGTGCGCCTGAACGATGATGGAAAGACAGTTGCAGCATTTGACATGATTGTACCAAAGGTAGGATGAAATTCTTTTCTGCAAGAGATTAAGCAACAATTGATCATTTCATCTTTAATTCTTTGTTCTATAGATTTTCACTTTAATGTAGCTAGACTGCAATATTGTTAGTCACTAAGTTGGAGAACATTTGTTCGCAGGTTGGAAAACTGATCAGAGCTAGCCAAAATGAGGAACGCTTGAGTATGCTAACTACAAGGTAAGAGCATAGCTTTACGAAAGCAGAAGTCCAGATTTTATGTTCATTGCCGCTACCAAGTTCTATTTTCTGATTTTGAATTTGCTTATATCTTCAAAAAAAATAATAATAATTAAAAAAAAGGCTCAAAAAATTTAAGAGATTTCTTTTAATTGTTTTTTTTTTTTTATACTGATTTGCTGCTATTCATGATTGCAGGATCATGGAATTGGGCCTACCAAAGGAACAATATGAATGGTATTTAGATCTTCGCATGCACGGGACCGTCATACACTCTGGCTTCAGTCTTGCGTTCGACCTTCTGGTTGCCTATGCCACCGGCCTCATCGATGTCAGGGATGTGATCCCTTTCCCCAGAAGTCATGGCAAAGCTAACAACTAATTCAACTTGCGAAAATGTCACTTCCATGTTGGAGAGAGCTACGCCAAGCTCTGTGTAGAGATTGAAAAGCTGCGTAGCAGACACATCTACTAATTATCTTGTGTGTGCAGAGACACAAACACAGTGTCTCTGAATGTAAATTTGATTCACTTGTACATATTATAAATATTTCAAAGGCGAAAAGTTCTAATTGAAATGAAATTATTCAGAAGATGTGCATTCTTTTTGACATCTTAAACACATCTGACATGCCAGACTAAGAGACTTAAGGTTTGGAAACCACAGACACATAATAGGCCATTGAAGCATTGGCCGAGCCTTCTTGCGAATCAAGAGGGAAGTAAAAAGGATACAGTTCATATCGGAGATAACAACTACTATACAAAACCCGACAGCCCTTTTTGTTGTTGCAGTAGTTTGGGATGTTACCAACCGCTATGGAGAGGCACTGAGAGCAAGATAGCGGTGACAGGTCCCTAGTGCATTGCACCAACGCGTAAATTGTCAAAAATGGTGTATACTTATTTTTCGCTCTCCCATTCCCTCTGTTACCAGGCACAACAGCCTGCGTAGTAATCTGATCCAACAGAGCTCCGAGTTCTTTGTTGAAAGTATCCGGGTCATTCGCATCCTCCACATTGTAAATGTAAATGCCAAAAGCTGTGTCTACATGTCCAAAAAAATTGTTGATGTCATACCTTAGGAAGCAATATTCGTACCAAATCCTGGCATCGGCTTGGTTTGGGCAGCGTGTGCGGATTTCTGTGGCAGCGTCTTGAATGCAGCTTGAGCAGTCTTCGTTGCTCACATCGGCTCTGCATTGTGATAAGCCATAGACTTGGTTTTTGGCTTTGCCATAGGAAGTGTTAATATAGCCATTTAGGATTGTACCCTTGACCAATTGAGGCAACAAGTAATCAATGTTTGCTGATATTTGATTATTGCTTATGTTGGTGTTTGTATTGCAAAACTGGCCTGAGGGATCAGTGGATTCTGCAGGGGAAGTACAGAGGAAGAGTAAGACTAAGAGAAGAAAAAGATGGCATAACAAGCAACCCATGTTTTTGTTTTTTGGTTTTTTGATTCTATGTTGAATTTGAAGCTCTCTTACATGGGTTCCTTCTTATTAAGCTTGGGATTGGGGGTGGGAAATGAAGTGGGGGATATGACAAAGCAGACATAATTGACTTTGTGACATTCTTGCCACTATGAGCGGAGGAAAATTCAAGTGCTTCTGGAAGAATATCAATTTCCTCAGTAGGATTGGTGCAATTATTGTTCAAAATCACATCAACAGCTTACACATTTAAATTATAGCTTTACTCCACTTTGTTTCCAATCCTTATTCTAGGCTTGACAAACATCATTAGCTATCTATCTAATGAGGGAGTGCCTTCTCACAGATATTGCAAATTCGTAGTTGCACTCTCCAGATGAACCTGAGTCATAATTTAATTCTATTTTTATTAGGAGTATAGTAATAAAGAATTAGTTTCTCAGAATTAGTAAGCAAGAGTCTTGCTCGTCCAAGTTCATACTGTTAGATTCCTCACTGAATAGAAACTTCTATGATCATGTCCAAAGGAAATTGTAACGCATTGGTCGCCTCCTCTAACCTTTTTCTGTAGCAAAAAACTAATAATCTAACTAGCTTCCCCCATGTGAAGTAGATTTGTTAAGAAACAAATTTTAAGATACAAGTATATATTTTGGGTATCTTCATAAGAAAATGAAACTGAAAGTATTAAAATTATTACTCAATTATCAGCTTTATTTGAAAACTATGTTAATATGTCATGCCCAAAGAGAACTGTGCCGCATTAGTCCTCTCCTCTAACCTTTTTCTTTAGCAAAAAAACTAATAATCTAACTAGCATCCCATGTGTAGTAAATCTGTTAATTAACAAAGTTTAAGATATATATATATATATATTGGGTATCTTCATAAGAAAATGAAACTGAAAACATTAAAATTATTACTCAACAATCAGCTTTATTTAAAAACTGTGTTAATATCCATATTTAGGAGACATTTGAAAGAGAACAAATCAAGATGGAATGGAGTAGGGCACCATCAATGTCTAAAATTCCACATTCTAAAAAGTCTTTTGAGACCAATTGACTTTCAATATGGTGCTTTGTCTCCTGTATCTCACTACTCTTCCTTGTGCTGTGTAGCACCATCATGCAGCTGTATATGGTACTAGGTGTGAGATATATGACTCTTATCCCCCACAGTTTCTCTTGTTTGTCTCGATTTGTACTCAAAATTTTTATTTTTATAATTTAATATATATTTTTAATCACAAAATTATATCTCGAGATTGTTATTACATTGAGCAGATGAATGTACCACTTAGTATTCAAATATTATAAGGGGATTTGGTCAAAACCCTCTGGTAATAAAACTTTAATTCATTAATGATAAGTATAAAAAGTTTTTTTTTGAAAAATTTAATAAATATCACTATTATCAAAACATTAAACTTTAAAATAATATAACCTTTTGATGTAGATGTTGATTTTTAATAAAATTAATATTTTTAGAATTCTCTCATCAAGATCTATCAAATAAGATCCATATTAGTTATAAAATTCTTTAAAAGAATAAAAATAAAAAATTATTACCGTCGAAAATAATGTAAACAATAACTTGTTATTTTGGCAATATTGTCAAAGAAAAAAAAAATTATTTCTATTTATCCTTACTCAATTATGTGTTTCCTCTTTAAAGGAATTTATGAAATAAAATAAATTCAACTATCTTTTTTACTAAATAATAATCCAATAGAAGGATTTTGATTAAATTTTCCAAATTCCTCAAAGACCGGAATATTGTTCTTAATAAATAGGAAATCCCATCATAGATGTTTGATTAGCAATTTAGCACTCAGCGATCCTTATGCGCATATCATCTTATGAACATTGAATGGATAAGGAATATTCCATTTTTTCCATCTTTTATGCAACTCCTATTCGTAGAGCAACTAGATTCTCTCCACTTTACAAATTAGACGTGTTGTTTGGTCTTGGGAGATCTATCATGCGTTTAAATTCATAATTTAAACAATTTATTTTTTAAATTATATAGGTAAAAAATTAAGTTGATTAATTTATTTTTTAAATCATAATATATAAATTATACATGTAAAAAATCAAGTCGATTCGATAATTATAACTACAATAATTTACGGTGATGCTTCCGACCCCCAGTGGCACCCCAGTGACGTGGCGCGCTGCCATTGGCTGAAAATCAAAAAAAAAAAACAATTTTTTTGGCCAATAGGAAGAGACCTCCAGCACCCCACTAGGAGTCTCATGCGTTTTCCGATAATTTATTACATTTGTCTCCTGAAATATATGAAATATATGAAAAATTTAATTTTCAAATAGTATTTATCATTCATTTTTTTTTGTTTTTGTAAATAAATATCATAAACTAATACAATTATGGTAATGAATGTTGTAGTAATAAAATTTAAACTCCACGTTAATAAGTAAGCATATCGAAGCAAAGTTGGATATTTATGCAAACCAAACCGAACAAAAAGATGGCATTATCAAGGTTCTTTCAAGAGTCCAAGTAATAAATATTAGAGTAAATTACAAATACATTTTTTAAGATTTGTTTAAAATATGAATTGTTCTTTATAATTTAGAAAATTATAAATACTTTTCTGTTAGAATTTTTTATTTAACAAAATTAATTGAAAAAGTAAAAACTAAAATTTATAACTGTTCACCTATACAATAATAAAATTATTTGAATTATTAATTGAAATAAAATTTTAACATTATTAAACTATTAATTAATTTGATAATTTATTAATAAAAAGAACTATTTTATATGAAATTAAAAACCTTAGAGGACATAATGTAATTTTTAAAACCATAATGGGTAATTTGTAATTTAAATAAATCTCATAGGGTGTGTTTGTAATTTACCCTAAATACTAAAAACTACATTTTGATATGATATAACATCTTCCATTATGCAAATATTATTTCTCTTTTGGGGAACTTACTTATAAGTCTCATACACAAAGTTCAAAATTCATTTAGTCCCAAAATAAAATATTTGCACCAATTAGTCCTATATATTTTTAATTGTTATCAATTTTTTTTTTTTTTAAAGACGCTACTACATCCCATTACCGCCAAATTTCTGTCAGACGGACATCGAAGACTCGTCGGAATGTTCAACGTCCCCCGGAAAGTCACTAGAATATCACCAGAAATTTGCTAGAGTATTGTAGGAATGTTTTGAACGTCACCGGAAGTTGTCGGAATGTCTAGAATGTTCGCTGAACATCAATAATAACGTCGAAGACTCACCGGAATGTCTAGAATATTTTTTTAATTTTTTTTTAAAAAAAAGAATAAACTGATAAATTGAAATGAAAAAACATAGCAAAATGTGCTAAATATTGATAAACTGAAAAAAGAAAAAAAAACCTAAGAACAACAATCAGCAACAATGAAAGAAAAAAAATATTATTTTCAATTTTTGTAGGGTTTAAGCAAATAATTTTCAATATTGATCAAACTGAAAAGCAAGTTTTGAAATTGTAAAATATTACAGTTTCAAAGTATTATTCTATTAAGTATTTATTGTTATTAATCAAACTAAAAACACATGTTATGAAACTGTAAAATTTTACAATTATAAAGAATGATTCATTTCAACACAAAAAAAAAAGAAGTTGAAACTGTAAAATTTTATAGTTTTCACCGCCTATAACTAAAACTCGAAAACAACTTGTTCAGAATTTGAAATTTTCTCCATTATAACAAGAAAATAAAAATATGTAGTATAGACAAAGTATTAAAACTGAGAAATCGAAGAAAAGAGACAAATATAAAGGAATACTTGTATTCCAATAATTATTTTTTGGTTTAAATATAACTGAATCTAACATAGATCTACTCAGATTTGAGTAGATCTACTCATCTTCTTTCTCGAAACTCATCTCTTTTGTCGTCGGCAAGCACGAAGCAAGGAGTTAGTGCTCGGTGGTTGCCCGTAAACCCCAATCAATGGTGGTCGCCGGTGATTGTAGATTAGAAAGAGAAATAAAAGAATGAAGGCGTGGGCGTAGTCGTGGTCATGGTCGTTGTCGCCACTGTTATTAGAGAAAGAGAGATAAAGAGAAAAAGTAAGGTATAGAGAAAAGAGGAGAGGAAAAGAGGAGAAGATAAATAGATATAGGACTTTTGAGTCTATCTAACAAGTTTTGGAATTAAATAATATGCATACTTTCCAAAGAGGACTTGTGGTAATGTAACAACCCTCATACTGTTTACCGATTAATGACTGACTGATTACCGATAAACATTGATTATCGTTAAACTGAACTGATTATGACTGATAATTGGACCGGTTAAAGTACTGAACTGACTGACTGAAAACTGGAACTGAATTGACTGAGTGTGTATATTAAATTGTATTCTATCTGTTTGATTGATTATCTGCTCCGTTTGTGTTTTATGTTTAAACTGCTAATTGAAGGCCTTATCGGCGGCCGAATCCGGAATTGATTGAAGTTTTATGATCATCATAATTTGTGTGATTTTATGGTGTAATTATCTGAAAACTGATTAGGTATGATTAAATTAGATTAAACATTGATCAATTGCAAACCTTGACTTATTTACCAAACTTGCCACTAAGTGGGCCACTATCTCACACATTGAGCCTTACACTTGATCATAACATAATTCCCTCAACCCTTTTCTTGAGCCTTGCCGACCTAGAGAGTGGAGAGGGAGAGAAATTGGTTTTTCACCTTGAATAGCTTGGAAACTTGAAGAATTGCTTGGTAATTGAAGTGTAGATTGCTAAATTAAACCTCTAGACTTGCATTCAAGGAACCTAGGTAAGGATTTCATCTTCTCATTCTTGTGTTTGAGCTAAGTCTTGCATGGTCCATGATAAATTGTAGAGCTAAGCCATGTTTTGGTTCATACATGTTGACATAGAGCATAATTCATGCATTCATGTTTGAATTGTTGGATTTTGAGTTGAGTTCATGGCAAATTGTTGCATGCATGTCCATGTTTTGAGTGTAGGCCATGATTTCATCATGTTTTGGAAATAATTGGCTCTT